AGTTGATATACAATATTATGTTGGTTTCAGATGTACGACACAGTGACTGGTGTATGTATTTTTATTTCAGTTTTATTTCTGGTTTATTTATTTGTTTTGACTCTCAATTCTATTCCGTTGATCTAAATATCTATCCTTAAGCCAGTACCAAATTGTCTTGATTACTGTAGCCTTGTAGTAAATTTTGAAATTTGGTAGTGTGAGCCCTCCAACTTGTTTCTTTTTTAAGTTTGGTTTGGCTATTCTATTCTGGATCTTTTGCATTTCCATATAAATTTTAGGATCAGCTTATCAATTTCTGCAAAAAAAAAAAAAAGGCAGCTTGGATTTTGATAGGGTTTGCAGTGAATCTGTAGATCACTTTGGGGAGAATTGCCATTTTAACAGTATTAAGCTTTACAATCCATGAACCTAGGATGTCTTTCCATCATGTCTTCTTGAATTTATTTTATGTTGCTGATTTTAAGCAGAAGCATGACATGATCTGATTTATACTCAGTAGTAATCTTCAGGGGTAAGAGTTGCTGCGTGGACAAAGGCTATAATAGCAGGGACAAAGAGGAAATCACTTGTTAACAAAAATATTTTTTATGTAAATTGGCAGGATTTGATGACTGGCTTTATGTAGACAGAGAGGGAAGAGAAAAGAATGAGTCCCAGGTTTTTTGCTTGGGTACATCATGATGCCACCAACTGAGATAAAAAATACAAGGAAGCAGTTTGGGGGAAAGGATAAAATGATTATTTGGTATATGTTGAGCTTGAGGTGACTGGGACACCTGGGTGGAAAGCAAAGGCAGTTGGATATTTAAGTCTAATGCTCAGAGGAGCAGCCTAATCAGGGGAATGATTTGAGACTCATCATATAAAAGGGGGACCATGAGATTACATGAACCAATCAATGGGAACAATGAAAGGGTGCAAAGGAATACTGATACTGAAAGCTTGAGCTTGGTGACCAAAAGGCCACAAAGGAGACAAAAGGAACAACCAGAGAGGTGGGCGGGAAACCAGGAAAGAGGCACGCTAGGGGAGTGCAGGCAGGCAGCTAATAATGAGTTTTACGGACTGAAATGCTTTGCTGGACTCGGAGGAGTTAGAAGTCACTGGCGACCTAGACAAGGGCTCTTCCAGCAGCGGGCTGAACCACACTGCTGTGGACTGAGGAGGAGGTGGCAGCTGAGAAGATGGAGATGACATGGAGAGCTAATTCATTCCAGAAGCTTGGAGGGGAATGGAAAGGAAGCGAAAATCAGTAATCAGAAATGAACAGGGGGTCAAAGCGAGGATGTGTCTTTTAGAATAGACGTGGGTATGTTTCCAGGCTGATAGGAAGGACTTAGCTGCCAGGCCGGGGATGAAGGACGGAGTGGAGTCCCTGTGGCTGAAGGCGGGAGGAGGCAGCTTTAGAAGAGTGCTTTTCAAATTTTCACATGCACACATATCACACATATCAAATCTTCCTCTTCTCCATCTCCACAGCCACCATCCTGGTCCAAGTCTAAGTAGCTCCAGCGTTTCTCACCCAGACAACTGAGCTTGCCTCCAGATGCTCAACTCCATGGCATAGGCCTGGTGGTGGAGAGGCCAGGAGGGGGCAAAGTATAAAGAAGAAGATGGAAAATATGAGAGATGCCCTCTCAAAAAATAAAAATAAAAATAAATAAAAAATAAATAAAAATAAATAAAGAAGAAGATGGAAAGGGCCAGTGGCCTCCGTGAAGTTAGGGGATGAGGCCCTGGGAGTCAGGAGAAGGGCCTGCTACAGGGGAGGCCTCTGTGGGATGCTTGAGGCTGGGATTCCAGAGGGGGACATTCAAGGTATGGTTCCAGAGAGGATGGCTAGGGTCATGGTGAAGGGCAGCGAGTAGGTCAAGGAAGAGTATTCACATGGATGAGCAGGACATTCGGACAGATCGTCGGACTGAGATCCAGAAACCAAACTCCAGGAGGCACGGAGGGCAGTGACAGGGAGGGCTACAGATTAAAGTGACAAGAAGGTGCCTCAGAGTAAAGAGACTCAGGAAAGGAGAAAATGCTATATGCACGTAGGAAAATACCCTCCGAAGTGTGAATGGTGGTTGTCCATGGGACAGAGAGGATTATGAGTAGTTCTGATTTCTTTTTCATGCTTTCCTGTTTTTACTTCCACGTTTTCTACAATAAACTTTTTAGTTTAAAGAAATGTAAAAAAAAAAATAGAAAAGATACAAAAAATTACAAACACCACCTTCACACCATATATAATTTGTGATTATAAACATGTTAAGTCCCCTTTAACCACTCCTCAGACAAGCTGGCTTTTCATTTTAGGTACATGTATATACATACCTAGAGTAGAATATGGTAGGGTCTGTGTGTGATTATTTTATTTACATGGAGGAACTGTTCAATCAGTCAGGGGTGGGGGGGAGCTTTTTTTAAGGTGAGGAGGAGTTAAACAGGACTAGAAGCCTGAGCCTCCCTCCCCAGCCGAGCCACCCAGGCAGGGAGGCCATCCCTAGGAAGACCCAGCCTTCAGTTTAAGTGCACAGGGCCACACCTGGTTGTTAACTGTTCCGGGAAAAGAGAGAATTACTACTTGCATTTCTCTGGCTAATTTCCAACCCGCTGTCATGTCTCTCAAGTGGTTTACATCTCAGAAATTTGGGAAGCAGGAAAGGCAGTCATTATCCCCATTTGACAGGTGGGGAAACTGAGGCCCAGGAAAATGCAGTGAGCTGCCAGGGTGTCACAGTGAGTTGGTGGAGGACAAGGGCCTAGAGTTCTTGTTCTTTACAGAACTCCAGGCCAGCATGCAGAAAGGGTGGGGCAAACGCAGGGGACACTGGATGGCTCAGACTAATGGACTTTGTCTGCTTGGCAATAAGGAAGAGAAATGGCAATAACTTCAGGCCGCCAAGGCTGGGCCAGGGCTGGGAAAATTGTCTAGGGAGAAGCAGGTGTAAGTTTTCCCTCCTCAGAGGCTCAAGAGAGCCTTTGGGAGGCTTAGACTCCCCCAAAACCCACCACACTCAGGAGCAGCCTTTCCTGAGAGGCAGGCCTGGATTCAAGTGTCAGCTCTACCATTGATACATGCTATGTGATCTTTGAGAAACCTTTGACTTTTCTGGGCTCAATTTCCTTATCTGCAAAACAGGATAACAATCCTTAACTTTTCCAAGGATAAAAAGAGAGGGTCCTCATTTATACATCTGAAAGCAGAGACATTTAAAAGGTCTGGGTCCCCCACCTCATTGCAGAAGGCTCCAAATGGGCTCAGTGTCGAGGGGTCTGCCTGATAGAGAAGCCACATGCATGCACACACATGCCAGTTGGCATTGGCTTTGCATAAACACATTGCATGTTCTCCAGGGCTGCCCCTTGGGAGGTGGCCTTTGTTATTGAAAGTTGTTGGGGGAGTCGGGGCAGGGTGGTGACGAGGAGGGAACCTTCTCTTTCTTTTTAACACAAGCAAGAAATAAATGCTCATTTTAAGACTTCAAAAATACAGCCATGTGTAAAACAAAAAACAAAATCCTTCCCCTCCCTCTCTTCTGGGCCCACACCGTTCTTGGTCATCACTTTGGGGCTACTGCTTGCAATTGAACAGCTCCTCCATTCACGTCATTAAATGCAAGTGTATCTTTGCACTCTTGGTGTGTCTGATAAAGACCAAGAAATGGAATTGCTAGGTCACAAATACAGGTGTTTGACCATCTACAGTCTGGGTAATACTACCCAATTGCCCAACTGAAAGGTTGTCCCCATGGGCATGAACATTTGGATGCCAGCCTGGGAGGGCACCAGCTGGATGGCTTGCTGAACTGTCCCCATCTTGTCTTCCACCTCACAAGTGTCTCTCCCCACCCTGCACCTGGCATACACTGTTCTCCTTCAGATGACAGGAAGCAGATCTGCTGAGAGGTCACCAACCAGCCTGCCTGACTGGTCTGCCAGTGCCCCAGGGGGCTTCCCAGATGGCTCCATTCCCTCTTTTGGTGTTTATACACTAAAAACTCCAGAGGCTCTGCGTGCTGTCCCAGGTGCATGACATACAAGGCACCAGTAGGCATACACCAGTGGACATATGGTGTTGGTGCTTCAAGCCAGCCCCTGCCCTCAAAGCCCCTGACCAGTATATGTGTAGGGGGAGGGGAGGTGGCACAGAGATCATGAACTGATGCCACCCAGATACTTGGTGCCTCCCAGAGGCCTGCTCCAAGGGCCCAGAGAGCCCAGGGAGAGGACCACGGCCCAGAGACCTGGACTCTGGTTTACTCCAGCACTTCTGGCTGGGTGCTTTGGGTGAGTCCCCCTCCAGATGAGGTGGATCAAATAAGGGAGGGCAGGGGTCCATCCTGACACACTAAAGGGGCTCAGTAACCAGGATTAGTAAAGCTCCTATTTCATGTACCTGCTAAGTCTACACTTTATAAAGATAGTCCGTAGAGAGGTTTCAGAGTGCTTTCTTATCTCGTTTTGTCTCACCACGACCTAAGGGACAAGAATTATCCCTTGTTTTCCAACGAGGAAACAGTGACTCCCAGATGGAGAAGTAAAGCACCTGGCTCAGCGTGGAGGACTCAAGACTACCAGGCGAGGCCACACAGGCCACGTGCATTGCCCAGTAAAACTAAGGTCCAGAGAGGGAAAGTGTTTGCCTGGAGTCACACAGCAGGCCAGGGACAGACCCTGGTGCCCCAGGCAGTGCTTCTGCACCACCCCTCCCTATTCTCTAGAAAGAAGCGGATTCCTGGCCTTCACCCTGGGGTCTGGCCCGTCCAGGTGCCCTCCAGGTCATGATAACCACAGCTAACGCACACGGCCCCCATCTGGATGAACACGGTCCCCTCTGAGCCTCACTTTGCACCTATTAATGGGCATCACCGGAGTGAACGGGCTAGACTCGGGGGGCGGTCGGCTCCTGCGGGGATCCGAAGCGGGCGCTGGAGGGTGGGGCCAGCGCCGTGACTCAGCCGGGCGGGCCAGGAAGGGCTGCCCAGCCGGTCCGACCGGCCGGGATGCAAACGAGCCGGCAGGGCCCTCTCGGGGCTGGGCCACCCGGGGGGTGACGGGAAGGGAGGCCGGCCGGGGCCCCGCGAGCCCGGCTCCGGGCGGGAAGTGGGCGCGGCGCGGGCTCTGCGGTGCGCGCTGAAGGCGGGCGGCTCGGCGGCTGTGGACGAGGATGGGAGCGGGAACCCCCGGCCGCCCGCAGCCTCTGGGGCCCCGCTGAGGCCGCGGCGGAGGGCCCGCGCCGGGAGCCGAGATGTGTCTGCGCCTTGGTGAGCTGCGGCCGGACGGCCCGCGAGGCCCGAGCCCGCCCCAGTCGTCCTGCGCGGGCGGAGGGCCGTAGTGGGAGCCCAGAACCCCCGGTCCAGGCCGCCTCCTCTGCAGGTCACTTTCTGCTCTCGGCCTCAGTTTCCTCAGCAATGAGATGGAGGGAGGAGGGCTGCTGGGACCTTCTGGCTGTGGGGCAGCACGTCCGCCCGCCCCCGCTTCCCTTCTTGCGGAGGAGGGACCCTCGAGGGGAGAGAGCAGCCCTCACCTCGGCCACAAGAGCGAGCAGAGGGAGGCGATCCAGGGTCCAGGGGGTTCTGAGCCGGGGCCGCCTGCCCTGAGGCTTCCTCGGGCCCCTCCCCCAGCTAGTGGGGAGGGCAGGGCCATCGGCAGACAGGGTCCAGATGGAGAGTGGGACTGATGTGTCCCCCTTCAATACCTGGGCACAGTGATGCTGCCTGAGCTTGTTTCCTCATCTGTAAAATGGGGATGGCTGCACCACCTCCTGCTATCAGGAGAAAGAAGTTAGCTAGTAGGAGTGAAGTGTTAATACTGTGCCAGCCACATAGCCAAGTGCTCCCAGAGTGGTAACTTAGAAACAGGGAAGCAGGGGACTGCCCTGGGACTTTGTCCAGGGCTCCAGGCACAGCTCCACACTGGTCCTGTGCCTCCAGTTTGACCAGGTCTTGGTGCTGGGATGCTCTTGTTCATGAGTCCAGCCCTGAGCCAGGTGGTATCTGGGCTGCCAGGTAGGTGGGTGGATGGGATGAGGTGGGTCAAGCCCCTGGGACAAAGCTGCCATGCCTCTTCCTGTTTGGCTAGCAGTTAACCTGCCCATTGTCTGTGCTCTGCTTCTGCTAGACCTGGTCCTGCAGACTCCAGTGGGTTCAGAGACCAGCCAGACTAACACCTCCTGTTTTACACACAGGAAATCTGAGGCCCAGCCTGGGAAGGGGCTAGTCACACAGAGGGGCTGTGACGTGTGGCCACATCCTTCCCTGCTCCCTGGGACTGCCTCTTGGCACAAGGCCCCCAAGAACATGCAATCTAGTGATTTCTTTCTTTGTTTTTAGCTGCAGAACTACCAAATATGAAATCTCCAACCCTCTCTGCCACAGATGGGAAGGCTTAGGCCTAGCAAGGGACTCAGTCAGGTCCCACCAGGAGCTCTAAACAAAGAAGGGGGGCTGATTAGTTCTGGGGGCTTGGCCACTCATAACAGTCTTACGGAGCTGTCTAGAGTGAGGGGCTGCTGGGGCCATGGGCTAGTGTCATCAAGGGCAGAGTTGGGACCCATGAGGGGCCTTCCAGAGAGCAGATCTGAACAGCCTGAGCTTCCCAAGGAGGAGGGCTCCCCGGCCCTGGGGCTGAGCAGCCACTGGCCACTCAGAGAACTTGTATATGAGCCCCTGGTGGTCTTTGCCCCCAGGCCCCCCAACTTGCCCCATCTCTGCCTGTCTCTGTACCAAGAGCTGGCTTTTCCCAGCATCTCCAGGGAATGTCCCTCTTTCCCATTCTTCCACTCATGGGCCCCTCCTTCCCACCGGGAGATAAGTGTTATTCTTCCCATTCTACAGAGGGGGAAATGGAGACTCAAAGGCTTGAATTTTTTGCCCCAAGTCTGTTCAGCAATTGTGAGTTGAGTACCTACTGTGTGCCAGGCCCTATTCACCAAACTGAATCCCAGGCAGGATCTGATCCCTGCCCAGTGAACTGGGGGCTCCTTGAGCCTGGACAGTGAGTGTCAAGCTCACTGTGGTACCTCAGGGTGTGGCACAGAGCAGACACTCAGTGAATATTTGTTTAACAAACACATGAATGAATAAATCAGTGAATGGGGAGCTTTAATGGAAGAATCATGGGTCTAGAGCTAGAGACCCAGGTTCAAATCTTGGCTCTGCCATTTGTGACCTTGAGCACCAACAAGGGTTACTACCCTTTATTAAGTGCCACTGCTGTGTTTCTCCAACCTTAGAGTTCCAAGGAATCTCATGATGGCGTTGTGAACACCTCCTCCAGGGAAGAAAACTGAGGATCAGAGAAGACACGTTACTGGCCCCAAGTCATGCAGAAATAGATTTAAAACCCAACATCTGTCACTCCTGCCAGGGCCTTGGTTTTCTCCTCTGCCCACAGGATGAGCCCCACCCATGGCCTTGACACAGCTGTCCCCCCCAGGTGGCCTGAGTGTGGATGACTTCCGGAAGGTGCTCATGAAGACAGGGCTGGTGCTGGTGGTGCTGGGCCACGTGAGCTTCATTGCAGCTGCTCTCCTCCATGGCACTGTGCTGCGCTACGTGGCTGCCCCCCATGACACTGTGGCTCTGCAGTACTGCGTGGTGAACATCCTCTCTGTCACTTCTGCCATTGTGGTATGGCCAGTCTGGGAGGGTAGCTGGCTGGAGGGGACTAGGGGGAGCTTGAAAGGTGTTTGATGAGTCCCCACCCAGAGCCTGGGGCGGGCAAGCAGACAGCCCTGAGCGCTGGCCCCTGCTCTGCTCCACCAGTTACCAACTGCACAAGTCATTCAACCTTTCTTTGCCTTGGTTTCCTTGTCTAAAAATGGGGGATGATAACAGTGTCCACCTCCAAGGGTCCTGGTGAGTACGGAATGAGTATCATTCACATACAGTGCTTGGCACAATGTCTGGCACATGGTTAGTGTGCGCTACCATGAGTTAGGGTTATTATTACAATCAGGAAATAGTCAAGGCACTGCTGGACAGAAGGAAGGAGCCTCAGCTCAGCATACACAGCTCCAGGAGGGTTCACAGGCCCCTGAACTGGGTATTGGTGGGTGAGTAGGAGTTCAAAGATAGGCTGCAATTACTTAACCCAAGTATGAAGCATGCTGGAGCCAGCAGGTAGGAGTGGAAGTTAGAATGGCATTCCAAGTACAGAGAATGGCAGATGCGAAGGTGTGGAGGTGGGAATGGGAAAGATCTGCTCTGGAAGCACTGAATAAACCAATCTGGCAGGAGTTTAGCATTAGGCCTGGTCTCAATAAATGGTAGCCATGGCTATGACTAGATGTCGGTACCTTTTTGACAAGTACTTGACTGAAGAGACCTGGTATTCTCAAGCTTATCAAGCTGTTTCCCACCTGTTAGCAGAGGTTGCCCTTTGGGCAACATGTGCACATCAGTGTCTGAGTTCCATCTGCCACCTCCTCCTGGCTGAGGAATTTATGTCTCTCTAAGCCTGTTCCCTCCCCTGCAAGATGAAGCTCAGACAGCCTACTGGCCTCAAGGTTTAGGTGGATGAGGATCACACTCCCCAGCAAGTAGGAAAGCCTCTGGCTGGGGGACAGAGCCATGCAGAGGTATGCACCGTCCCTTGGAGGTCCTATGACCATTATTTTCTCCTCTCACAAGCCTTGTGAGGCAGGCAAGGCAGGCAGTGAGCTCAGGGTTAGCAGGTCCACCAGGAGTGGACTCTGGGCTGGACCACTTCACTTGGCCCTTGTTTCCTCAGTTCATCTTCACTCCTTGCAACGTGGGCCACTGTTACCCCCATTTTATAGAGGGGAAAGCGAGATGTGGGGATCTATCTAACTTCCTGCTGATACAAAGAAGCCAAGCTGGATTTGAAACTATTTGTGTCTGACATTAAAACCAGTATCCTTGCCAGAGCTCATCCTGTAGAGTAGGGCTTGGCCCAGGGAGGTTGAGGCAGTAACTTATAGCTGCACAGTAAATAAAAGACATCACCAGGCCCCCATCGTACCACCTGCCTCCCATGGGTCCAGCCCATGCGTGGAAAGGTAGGGAACTCACAGAAGCCTGGCTGAGTGGAGCCCAAAAGATTCAAAAGGCAGCTGGTGGTCTAAATGGTGGGGCGTTCCCACGTCTTGGGACTGCGGGTGGTTAGGGAGGCTTACAGGAGGAAGAACCAGGGCAGAAAGGGTGTTCCCGAGAGGGCACTGTGTGGGTGGGATCGGGAGCAGGCTAGGTGTGGGTGTCCATACCCAGGGCAATGAAAGAAGAGACTGGCCAGGGTGGGGTTGAGAAGCCGACAGGACAGGTACCAGGCCACTGAAAGCCTGAGATAATTTGAAATACTCCTAGAGATTTTAAATTCTGCCCCACATAGTTTCCTGATTTGTTTTAAAATATCAATTTTGTTTGTAGTTCTTTGCCAGTTGAGTTACTTAGTTTCTTTCAAAAGCTTCTCCACTCCAGGGAGACATGTCATGTATCCTGTGACATGCCTCTGCAGCCCTGGGACACCCGTCTCTGAGATATACAGCTATAGGCAGTGGGGAGTCACAGAAGGTTGTAGGCAGGGAGTGACTGTGTTTTTGAGGAGGCAGTGCCTTGGGGAGATGGAGGTAATGAGGCCAGAGCTAAGCAGAAAGTCAGGTAGTGGGGGTTTGGAGGGCTAGAGTTGGCATTGGCCTTGACCCTATGCCTGCTTTCCTTCAGCAGAGGGGTCAGGGCTGACTTAAGCCTCCTCCACAGGTCATCACCGCAGGTATTGCAGCCATCGCGTTGTCCCGCTACCTCCCCAGCATCCCCCTGGTATGTGGCATCTCCTGGGATGGGGTTATATGGGTAAGGTAGGGGCAGCCAGCCCAAAGGCCTGGTCTGGTTGGAGGGGGTAAGGCTGACTCCATGGGGGCCAGAGCTGCCCGTGGGTCTGAGCCTGCATCCACTGACCAGTGGCCTCCCTCATCCAGCGTTGGACAGTGTTTAGCTCAAGCATGGCCTGTGCTCTTCTCTCTCTGACCTGTGCTCTTGGCCTCGTGGCATCGATCACCGTGACCTTTGCGACCCAGGGCCGGGCACTACTGGCTGCCTGTACTTTTGAGAGCCCTGAACTACTGGCACTGGTGTCCGACTGTCCCTTCGACCCCACACGAATTTACGTGAGTGCTTAGGCCTGGGTGGTTGGCGAGGACATGCAGGTGCTCGTCAGAGGTGGGAAGGGTTCCTGGAGTCCTGCCCTCCATCCCTAACCCCAGGCAGCCATCTCTGCCCCCTGTGTCCCCACAGAGCTCCAGCCTGTGCCTCTGGGGCATCTCACTAGTGCTCTGCATAGCAGAGAGTGTGTTTGCTGTGCGCTGTGCCCAGTTTGCCCACCAGCTGCTGGAACTGAGGCCCTGGTGGGGGAAAAGCAGCCACTGCACGGTAAGGTCTGCCTCCCTCCCCGCAGCCCTGACTCCCCACATTTCCTGGGAGCCCCAGCAGGGGAGCCCAGGCTGGTCTGCTCCCACCCCTCTGTACAGGCCCCCACCTTGAGAACTGGGGCAAGACTTGTTTTCCCTTAAGTCCAAAGGAGGGTCAGAGAGGTCAGCTCTCCCAGCTAAATCACACAGAGCTGAAAGCCCAGGGTGAGTCTTGAGGCAAGGGGAGAGGTATCTAGGCTTGAAGTGGGGGCACTCCAAGGGTATGGCCTGCCTCTCCTATGAAGGGGGAGTAGTGATGCTTTTCACCCCAGAGATCCTCCCAGCAACCCCCTCCTCCCATTCCCAGGTGACCTGGAGGCAGAGACCCAGACCCAGCAGGCCTGGCTGCCGCTTGTGTCTCCACAGATGCAGGAGAAGCCAGAGCCTGTGGAGAGCCATGACCTGCTGAGCTGCACCAGCTCTGAGCTGCTGACCCTCTGAGCTGATGCCTCCTCGCCAGGCCGGGGCCCTGCAACCAAGTCTGCACTGTGACCAGGCCAGGATTCCTGGAGGCCACCCAAGAGGGCTCAGTGGCTATTTGGGGACCCAGGTGGGGCTTCCAACCCCTTCCCATGGTCACCCAGCCCACTGCACTGAAAGGAGACTTTATTCTGAAGTTATTAAAAAGAACAGAGATGCTCCACGTGGGTGCATGCAGCGGGGGAGGGGCTGGGCCAGGGGCCTGTGCTTCATTCCCACACAGGAGGGCTGTGGGTGGGGCTCCAGATGTGTCTGCCCAGCTGTCTGCAGGCCTGTTTACATGTCCCATAGAGGCGTAACTCACAGAAGGGTAGGTGGGTCTGTGTGCATCTAAGCGCTGAGAGGCAGGTAGGGATTCATGGGATCCACATCTGGGAGGCTGGAATCAGGAGGTTTTCCTTTTGCATCATGGCCTCGGTGCCAACAAGTGCTTTGGAGCAGGGAAGGTTGAGGATGGCTCAAGGAAGCTTTTCCTCAAACCCCCACACCAGGGAATCTTTCTCTCCACTCCAAATAAAAAGACAGCTCCCCACCAGGGCCTGATTCCCCCTCCACCCAGGTGGAGATTACCAGGGCAGGGCAGGGGAGTTGGCTCCGTGGCTGGGGAGGGGAGTCTGGGCTGAGGGTCGGGGGAGGGATGACTGTAGTTCTGTCTGGGTAAGCGAGGGCTGACTGAGGGGAACAGCAAGCCGGAGCCTGTGTCTCCATCCTTGCCAAAGGGAGGGAGATACCGCCTCTTGGACTGCAGGACACTAACCGCTGGCTTGCTTGGGCCTTGGGGACCTGCAGGGTTCCCTACTCCATAGCCACCCCCCCAGAGTGTAGACCCGGGGCGGGGGGCAGTCTGACCCCCCACCCCCCAGCCTGGACGGACACAAGGGGAGAGTAAGCTGAGAGCTGGGAGGGGGCCAGTGAAGGCAGGGAGGAGGCGGAACCTGGCTCCTCTAGCTCAAAACTGGGAGGCGCTGCTGGGGTCGCACTGCAGCAGACGCACGATGGACGGGTCGCTTTTGGCCCCGCGGATGAACTCCTCCAGGGACAGCTTTCCTGCGGGGCAAAGGGATCAGTGACGCGGAAGAAGGAGGCAGCTTAGCGCGGGGAGGCAGAGCACAGAGCGGGGGAGGAAGGGTGTGGCGCCCGCCCCGCCCCGCCCCGCCCCTGCCCCTCACCGTCGTTGTTTGTGTCCATTTGGCGGAAGATTTTCTCGGTTCTCTTTTCTGGGGTCGACTCGTCCTCCGGCATCTTCATCACGGAGGAAACCATCTTGTAAATGGCCTGTGGGGCGGGAGGGCAAGGCAGGAAGTGAGAGTTGCCTGCCTGGCCCCTCACCCCCAACACTCAGAAGCGCCCCTAGATATGGCATTGCCGCCCCCGCCAGGGTGAGGTAGGGGGTCACGGAGACGTGGAGGAACTGGACGGCGCAGGAAGGAGTGTCTGGGAAAGCTGCTCGGAAGAGGACGCTGCTGGAGCGGGCCCTAAGTTCCTTTGGGGCGCTAGGTGGGAAAGTAATTGCTGGCAAAAAAGTCTGCATGTACAAACGACCCGCGGTGGGAAGCGCTGAGTGGGCACTGAGAACTGGGGGACGGCTGAATGCAGGGGGTCAGGAGAGATGTAGTACATCGGGGCCCAAATGGCCAAAGGCCTAGAACGCCAGGCTTAGATGCTCTTAGCGCTGTAAGGTTCCAGGGTAATTACCGGGTTAGCGCAGCTTTTCAGAAACTCCGGGGCTTCCGGCGCTGGGCGCCCATGCCCTCGGTGACCGACAGAGGACGCTAGGCGGAGGGGGTGGCACTGCGCCTCTGTGGCCTGCAGGGGGCGCAGCCCGCACTGAGTGCTGGAGGACTCCAGACAGAGGGGACCCGGAGCATTATACAAATAAACGCAAATGAGCATCTGCCTGAGGCTGGGACAGCCTGCGCTTTGCGGTGCTCAGGACAGCAGCCGCCAAGTGCAGGAGCTGCGGAGGCGACGCGGAGAGTTTTTATGCTGAATGTACACAGAGCACATGGACCAGTTGGATAGGCTGGACGTCCAGTAGCTGAAGGAGCAGAGTCGTCGCCTCAGTCCCTGGCTGTTTGCTAGTGACACCTCCTCCAAGAAGCCTCCTTCATCCATCCCATAAACGTCCCTGGTCTTAGATCCGGCTTCAGCCTATGCACTGGTCTCTTCTGGCCACTTTCCCCGGGTCTGCCCCCAACACTGCCTCTGAAAGCTCTTTCCAAACACAGATCTCCAGTGCCACATCCTCAGCCCACAGCGGGCCGCCCCCTTGTTTCCTTCGCACGCAGGCCTCCCTCCAGGCCTGCCGTGCACCCAGCTCCAGGATGCTGCCCCACGCTCCTTCTGCTGCCTCCCACTCCTCCTGGGGGCTCAGCTTTCATGGAGCTTTCTTAAGGAGGCCTTCTCTAATCCCAGCTGGGTCAGGGCCCATATGCTGACCAAGAGCCTCCTGAGCTGTTCTTCTGGGAACACCTCTCCAGAAGCAATTATGCCTTTGTAGGATTGCTCCTAGTCCCCAGCATACAGAAAAGGACCATGGACATTTAGCTAGTGCCCATATCCACAGTGCCGGCCATCTGGCAGGGACTCCCCTACTTAAAAGCCCTTGGCACCGCCCACTGCCCTCTGTCCCAAGTCCAAACCATTCGGCCCTTAGCCTTTGAGGCACTTCATGCTGTAGTCCCTGCTGACCTCACCCCCATCAGGTCTCCCCTAGTAGGTGATTTTGCCACAACCAAACACCCCTATGCCTTTCAGGTTCCCCAGCATTTACATACAGCCTCTACCTGGAACACTGATACTAGCTACCACTTATCAGGCAACTACTATTTGCCAGGTACTTTACATGCATTATTTCTAACATCAGCCCTGAAAAGCAGGTATCATGATCTCCATTTTCCAGATAAAAAAATCAAGCTTGGCTCAGCAATTGACAGCAGATGCCAGATTAGAACCGGCTCCCTCTTAGCTACTGGACAGATGCTGTGGGATGGTGATGACCAGCAGAGACCTGGAGTGGCATCTGGTCCCATTAACCACTTTATGTGTAGCCCTGGACAAGTACTTACAGCCACTGTGAGCCTTGGTTTCCTCAGCTGTAAAATGGGGGTAACCATATCTCCTTCATTAGGATTGTCCAGAGGATTAAAGAGGTAAATGACACCTCCTCCAAGAAGCATGTAGGTTAGAATAATACCTGGCTAGAGTAAGTGTCAGTAAACAATGACTCATATTATAATTACTCATTATACATTACATTACCCACCATATCCTCAGTTCTTCCCTGCCCATCAGTCCCCCAGACTCCCAAATGTCACATTTGCAGTGGTCAGTGGGGCCTGCACATTTGTCTCTCCTGCCAGAATGGGAGCCGCAAGGGGCCTTGATGCCATCCCTACCCTTCCCATGTGCCCATTCCCTGACCGTGGGGCTGGTCCTGAGAAGGACTGAGCGAGTGACAGAGAGTGACTGCTCCCTTTGTGACAACCCTTCCCCTGGGCCTCCTAATTAATTGTCTGGAATTGCTGCTCATTCATTGTTTCACTGGAGCTGACTTGTAATTAATCAGTCAATGGGGTTTGCAGAGCCCTGTCTGCACGAGCCCTCTGGGGCTGCCGTAAAGGAAACGAGGGCCTACTTGACAGAGGCCAGCCAGGAAGGGGTCCTGACGATGCCCAAGGAATGCCCTGGAGTTTGCACTACCAGCAGGGCTGGGGTTTACCAGTATACACCAGTGCAACCACACTAAGTAGTAAAACATGAACATCCCTCTTGACTGGTTGGCATCCAGGTAATGCCTACTCCCTGCGTGATCTTCCATGACCCTGGCTATCCCAAACCTTCCACCAGGGCCCCCAGGACTTCTCAGTATCCATCATCTAAAGAATTAACACCTGGCCCACAGGAGTCATTGACAAGCATTAAGGCTTCCCCCTAACGATAGGCATAGGGAGGGCACCACCTCCCAAGGCAGTCCATTCCAGCTGGAGAAAACAGACCCAGACCCTTAGCAAGAGAGAATCCAAAAGTGCTGCAGAGGCCATTCTGGCTAGAGCAAAGAATGTGCAGAAGAGAAAATAACTGACAATCGCTAACGTTTACCAAGTGCCAGTTGCATGCTGGGCCCTCTCCTGCCTCCCCATCCCTCTTTATAACTTCAATAGCCTTGCGAAGGAGGGAGGTAATGCTCTCACTTTGCAGGTGAAGACCCAGAGGCTCAGGGAAGAAGTGAATAAGGAACTAAGCAGGTAAAATAGAACCAGAGCTCTGACAGCCTTAAATGCTGGGCTGAGAGGATGGGCACTTGCGAATGTTTTTGAGATAAGGCTAAAATCTGTAACACTTAAATTTGTACTAAGAAAGGGCATTCACATCAGGTCATTAAATCTCCCCATGAGGTCAGCATCACCATCCCTATCTTACAGATGAGCAGTCTAAGAGTTTGAGGCCAACTGCAGAACTGGAAGCCAGTCCCCTATTCAAGAGGTAGTTCTGAGTGGTAGCCAGCCTGAACTTGACTCCACTTATGTGCTGTGTGACCTTGTGTAAGTCACTTCACCTGCCTGAGCCTTGTGGGGTTGTAAGGATGCACTGAGTTCATGGGTATAGGCATCACTCAGTACTAGGCTCTCAGTGGACGCTCAGTCAATTAGTTGGACGATCCAGATGGAATATGGATGGTGGAGCCAGGTGGCCCATTTGTAAGCTGTGTAGCCTCAGGCAAATCTCTTTACCCCTCTGAGCATCCGTTCCTCCTGAGTAAATGAGGATCAATGAAACATAATTGGTCTATACTCTGCAGAAATGTCAAGTCTTGAAAGGCAAAGAAAGTGAAAAACTGCTACTTATTAAAGGGGGATAGAGACATGACCACTAAATGTAATGCATGATCCTAGACCAGGGCAAAAAAAACACTATAAAAAACATTATTGAGACAAAATTGGCAAAATTAGAATATGATTTCGAAGTTAGATAATAGCATTGTTTCTGTGTTAAATATCCTGACTTTAATAATCATATTATGGGTTATGTAAGAGAATGTCTCTGTTCTTAGGAAATATGTCCTGATGTATTCAGAGGTAGAAGGTCATGTTCAGGACAACAAAACATTACACACATGCACACACACATAATGATAAAGCAAATTTGGTAAAATGTTAGTTGGTAAATCTGGGTGAAGGGTATATAGGAGTTTTCTCAACTTTTCTTTAAATTGGAAATTACTCCTAATAAAGTTTTTTAAATGGGTCATAAAAATAGCACCTGTCACACTACCTACCCATAGGGGCAGTCGAGAGGATAAAAAAGGGTGGTGGGTGCAAGCTGCTGGGCCCTGTGCCTGTCACTCTGAGGGGCCCAGGGGCCCACCTGCACAATCTCGAGCATCTCCTCGCGGCTGATGTAACCGTTGCCATCCAGGTCGTACATGCTGAAGGCCCACATAAGCTTCTGCTCCAGGCGGCCTCTCGAGGTCACACTTAGTGCAATGATGAACTCCCGGAAGTCGATGGTGCCATCGCTGTTTGTGTCGAAGGTGCGGAAGACGTGCTCGGCGAATTTGGAGGCATCACCGTAGGGGAAGAAGTTGGCATAGATTTTCTTGAACTCATCCACGTTGAGGATGCCCGTGGGGCAGTCCTTGAGGAAGCCTTTGTACCACTCCTGCAGCTCCAGCTCTGAAAATTCCGTGTTTTCCCGCAGGTCCTGCAGCATCTCAGGCCGCAGCTTGCTGTTCTGCTTGCCCATGGCCACTGAGCCAAGTCCCACCTGGGTCCCCAAAAGGGTTAAGGGATAGAGAGGAGTGGTCAGGCCCTCCTGGCCCCTTGACACCACTGCAGGAAGCCCCCAGAAACCAGCCACCCCAGGCCATTTGACCCAGTGAGAGAGAGAAGATGGCCCAAGGTCACAGAGCCTGCACCAGGGCATCTTGCCACTGTGACATGCCGTACATCATCTCCCCTGACCTTACACTTCCCCAGGGAACAGACCTGGAGACAGGGGAAGGGAAGGAAGCTCTCCCTTACTGAGGCCCATCTCTGAGCCTTCACAGGTGTGCACCATTTCACCTTCACAAAGTGCAGCTTGGGGATTAGTCCCATTTTACAGATTAGACAAACTCAAGGATGTTAGGTGACCTAGTTCAGGTCACACAGTCATGGAATGATGGCTGATTTCCAGCATTGACCAGGGAGATGCAAAAAGGCCTTGTAGACCTCCTCCCTCCTACACACTGTCCCCTCATTGCCACACATAATTATGCCTGCTCACCACAAAATACACCTGCAGCCCAGACACTGACCTGATCTTTCTTCCACACACATGTGCCTGAAAAGGAGCAGCATAAGGTGGGTGTTTGCTGAGGTTCCAGAGCCAGACTACCTGGGTCTGAATCCCAGCTCTGCCTCTTACCAACTATGTGACCTTGGGCAAGTTCCTTAAACTCTCTCTGCTTCATCTGTAAAATGGGGGTAATAGTACCAACCTCATTATTGTTATGGAGATTAAATTAGTTAATACATGTAAAGCACTTAGAACAATGCCTGCACATAACGTGCAACATAATGTTAAATAAGTAAAAATTGTTTACATGTATCCAGATGCCAGAAAACTCATGCACAACACTACACAAATGAACACACACCAACATATTATGCTATTCACAGAGTCCCATGCCACTCAAATATCCCATGCCAGTCCACACCCACCCAAGGGTCACCATGCCTCCAACATGACAGTATTCCCTCTGCTCTACAGATCACATGTACTGACACACGGCACCACTCACGAACAGCTCCCATACCCTGCGCATCAAGACACACCAGCCCACGACCCCACATGTCTCACACATGCCATCACAAGCCAACTCCCATGCTGACACCTCTCACATGGCCAGCTGCACGTGGGACCCTCAGACACCCTTGCCATCTTTTTTTCTTCTCCAAGGGATGCTGCCAGGTCTGAGGAAAGGGACCTGCAGCCCTTCTCAGACCTGGTAGGGGCCCCTCTTCCAGAACGAGTCCTAGCCAGCCAACCCTCCCCCAACACTTACCTTTTATCTAGGCCAGAAAGGTCCCCTCAGTGTAGGAGGTTAGAGCATGGAGGGCTGAGGGGAAGGTAAAGGAGAGGAGAACCAGGCAGTTCTGGGCAGGGATGTAGGGGTGTTTGCAGGTGAACCTTGCCCCCCACCCCACTTTGGGGCTTGAGTGAAACAGGGTGAGGGAATTCCTTGTGTGTGCATTTGCACTAAGCTCTGTGCACATGTGTATGAGTGTGTCTATGAGTGCATGTGCTCATTTATGCATGTGTGTCCCTGGTTTCTGCACTGCATTTGTCTCCCCATGTGCTCAATCCGTATCTATGCATGTGCATATATGTGCCTGTGACTAGGTGTGCACCCATCACAGTGTGAAGGGCATGTGCCTGTGTGGCCATTTGAGGGACCTGTGTGTATCCTCAGGAGTGGGTCACATGCATTTTCTGTAAGTTGGTGACCCTCCATTCTAAATAAGCATCTTCTGCCCCAGACTGAGGACCCACTGAACAAGTGTGTGGGAGGGGGTTAAGGAAATGTGTGGGGCTGGGGCGGTGGAATGTGTCCCTTAGTCCCCTCCTCAAGGTCCAAGGAACTGGGTCATCAGGGCGGGGTTTGAGAGAGGCGCTGGGCAGGAGAAAGATCTTCCAGTGCCCCCTCCTCCCTGCCACCCTCAGAGCTGCCCCTCCCAGTTGGAAGACTTGGAAACGAGGGTGGTAGAGGGAGGGTTGTCTCCGCAAAGACCACCCTCCCCGTCCCCAAAATGAGAAGGACGCACAGCTCGATCTGAGAAACCCGCCCCGGGGACCCTCTGCGAACCTCTCCCAGATCTCGCCCAGAGCCCACGCCTCAATCCTCTGAGTGCTCGCACGCGGCCCCTCCTGGAGGGGGCGCTCGGAGGAGGCCGAGACACGACTCCTCCGGGCTGGCCGCTCGGCCGTCAGGACCTTGGAGAGCGCCGCGAGTTTCCCCGGGGGAGCCCCCGCTCCCTGCGCCCGCGGAGGCAGTATTCCCGGGAGGCGCGGGAGCGGCGGGCTCTGGTAACCCAGGACGGGGCCCCCTCCCTCCAGGATGCCCCTTCCCCGCGTCCCCCAGCCCTGGCCAGAGCGGCCCCCACTCACCCAGCGACGCGGAGACACCGACTGCGCAGGGAAGGCGGCGCTGCTGCGGCTCGCGGCAGCAGAGGCGGCCGGAGGGGCGGGCGGGGGGCGGGGGGCGGGACTGCGAGGGAGACGCCCCGCAGCGTTCGCCCGGAGCCCCTCCCCGGGGGGCTCCCGATTCCTCCGGTTCCCCTCCAACCCCGGGGATTGGGGAGGCGGTGCGCTGCGCTCCGCCCCCGCCTCTGCTCGGGAGAGGGAAGGGGACGCCCTGGCTGCCCCGGCCCCCCTCACGAGGGAGCTCCCGCGGCGGGAGGAGGACCGAGGTCCCCATCGCCCCGGCATCTGACTCAGGTAGCCTGAGGCGGGTGGGACGGTGTGTCACTGCCCAGAGACCTCCTTCCCAAGCTGGGGACGACCCGGGCCGCTCCACCCGCCTTCCTCCCCCATGCCTACCTGGTCGCAGAGCCGCACGTCGCTTCGAAGGCGGAATCCAGATCCTGGGAGGATAGGCACCCTCCCTGCCCCCGCGCCTCAACTCGGGAAATAAGTGAGCTGGGGGCCCTTCCGCGAGGTGGCAGCGCCCACTCCTCTGGTCTTTGAGGTCTTCGGCGTGGCGCGGTGGGGGGGCAGACACGCCCCCACCCCACCTCCACCTTAGAAAGCCTCGCCGCCTCCCCTGGCCGCCTCTCCGGATCTCGTTCCCAGGCACCCTCTGAGTGAACCCCACCTCCCAACATTGATCTTACTTGCTCCTCCCATTCCCCCCAACTCGGATCAAAGAACGCCCCCCCCCTACCTGCGCTGTATGGTGGTATGTGAGGGCTAAGGAGTTTCCAGCTGGGGAGTTCTGAGAGGCACAGGCCCTCTGCCTGCAGACAGGACAGCCCTTCTGCAGAGTCACAGACCCCCATCATAGCTGCTCCTGTCAGAATAGGGGCTGCATCCTTCTTCCCCAGCCTCTACAACAAGCCCCACCTCCTGGGCTCAAGTTTTGTCCTTTCTTTATCTTTAGGGGGTGTCCTTATTGCCCCCATTTCACAGGTGAGAAAATAGGTTTCCCACTGGGAAATAAATGATTTCCCAGTGTCACCGCTAGTGAGTGGAAGGCTTGGACTTGAATCCATGTGTCTTCGTCTGTTCATAGCACAGTTATTTTATTTAACAAGCACTAGTTCTGTGCCCAGCACTGTTCTAGGCAGTGGGCTTACAGCCATGGACAGTAGACAACAGACATAACATGCTATGTGGGGAAAAGTTGAGATCGGTGTGCAGGTGGTTAGGATGGCTGAGTTCTTAGGACCTTGCCAGGGACTTTAGGTTTTATTCCAGGTGAGATGGGAAGCTCTTAGGTCTTTGAACAGAATGAAAGGATCTGACTTCCAGGTCAAGCTTACTCAGGCATCCTGTCCAGAACTGACTTTGTGAGGACTGGGGCTCAGGGTGGGGTCAGGGGGCCATCTTATGACCAGGGGTTATCTGACAACATCTGCCTTCTGATTGGACAGCTCCACAGCTCGTCCCAGTTTGATGGCAGCTACTGTCCCCCCCTTAACACATCCGGCCATGGGAGTGCAGACCAAAGCTCACCTCCAGTCTCCCAGACCAAGCCTCTTAGGTGTCACAGTCTAGCCTTAGTCCCTCTTGCTTGAGGGCAAATTAGGAGGTCTCAAATAGAGGAACTGGGAGCCAGGCTGGGGATGGGGAGGTGGGACAGCTGGGCCCTCCTGAACACCAGTTCCTCTCTGTACCTTGTGGTGTTGGGACCCCCGATGGAGGCGTGAGAGACGCCAGACATGAGTGGGTGGTTCCCAGCTGCCTCCTGCATGCAGCCCTGGGGACAGGGAGAGACATGCTGTTCAGCCCCAACCCCAGGCCCTGGAGTGACAAGCTCCTTCTCTTCTTTCCATTAGTCCTGGAGAGCCTGCTATGCTTGGACTGGGAGAGGGGCCTGCCCTTCCTCCAGCACTTGCTACTTCTTCTCTCCCCTTCCCGAAGCTGGAGAATCTTCTCAGCCTGGTCTGGGTCCCCCTCTCTATCCTCTGGGGCCTCAGCTTACCCTCACAGGGAATGCTTAGCCACTCTCTCTGCTTCCTCACACCTCACCACCCCAGCCTCACCTCCTCCAGGCTGACCCCTGGGATCAGCCCCACAGGAGCCTACTTCTCCTAGTCCCATGTTTTTCTTCTCTGTGAGGTTGACTTTGATGCCCTGCCCTCAAGACCCCCAGTCTGCATCCTATCTCCCCAGTAGATGGGGCTTCTGAAAGCAAGACCATGTCTTCTCCCCACCCTGGGTCCTCCACCCACCTTTGACTTTCTCTGAACCTGGAACGAGCAGGGTGGATCTGGTAGCAGTTTGTACTCTGGTAGGATCCACTGGCTACTCCCCATCAGCCATCCCCCCTCCGGGGGGGCCTAAGAAGCACTGGGAGGCCCCCATGAGCCAAAGGGGAATCCCAGCTTGGCGATCCCCATGCTCCCCACCAAGGCTCTTAGTCCCAGACCTAGTACCTTGAGATACAGCCGAGGAAATGGGGGCAGACAGGCAGTTGTCAGGGGGCCTGGGTCCCTCCACTTCTGGATGACCTGGAACAAGTCTCTTCTACTTTCTGAGCAGAAAGTTTAGACAGGGAATATGGGTGCCTTGACATCCTCATCGAAATCCCTGAACAGAGTGCTGACAAGACAGCCTCACTGACTTCCTCACTGGGCCTTAGGCCTGAGGCACAGGTTCACTGGGACATGAACACAGAACATGGATAAGGCCCCGGAGCCCTGCAGGTTTGAAGGGTTCTATGAAGGCCTGTTTCCGGGGCTGGGGTGGTGCCTACTGATGATCCTCAGACCCCTCCTGCCCCAGAATGAGGCAGCTAAGAGGGCGGGAGAGGCATGGCTTAGAGTAGAAGTAGAGGGGGCCTTGTAAGGGAACTAAGCAGTAGGCAGGGCCCATGGAGATGGGAGAAAGAGCAAGTCCCAGGGGAGGGGATGTCCCCAGCATCTAAGGGGTGAGGTAGCTGTACAGAAACCGGAGGTGGTAACCCTTCTCTGGCACTAAAGAGAGCAGACCAGCTCCCAGGAGGCTAGAGAGAGAAGCAAGTGGCGGATGAGTGAAGGGACTGCATATCTCTTGAGCACCTGCTGTTTGCAGAGTGCTTTGCACGTGTCCCCTACTTGATCTGAGCTAATCCTGAGGAGTCAACAGTGTTGTTGCCATTTTACAGATGTGGAGACTGAGGCTCAGAGACATGAAGTCACCTGCCCCAGGTAATACAGCAGGAAAGTGACAATGCCAAAATTTGAACCCTGTTCCATGTGACTTAGGAGTCCAGGCCCCTTTCTGGGAGCCTCTTAAGGAAGTAGGCAGAGGTAGCCCCTCCACATCCCCCTCAGAGGCACAGACCCCACCCCACCCTCCCCTCTCAGGTCCCAAATGGCTTGGAAAATCCTGATGGGAGCAGATGGTGGGGACAGATGGAGGGAAAAGCATCTCAGGGCTTCATTACCCAAACAAACACTGATAAAGTGATTAAAAACCTCAAGCCACCCCTTTCCAAAGGCCCTGCTTACCTCAGCCTGGAGCACAATGGACCCAGACATGGGGAGCTGGGCAGTGGGGGAAGTCTCTAGAAGCCTAACATCTTAGCCCAACAGATCCCAGTGTCTGCCCATCCCCCCTCACCGCTGGGGACTACCCCCGGACCAGAGCCCAGGGTGCAACGCTGCCAGGAGCACAGCATGGGAGGGGGAGGGGATGGGTCTGGTTGTTCCCGAGGGAGCTGGGCCTTGAGGAACAGAACGGGGGTGCACTGAGGGACTCACAGGGGTGTTGAGAATGTCCTGGGAGCTGGGACGGCAAACCTGAAATCAGGGGGAGGGCGCAGGTGTTGTTGAAGTGGGGCTGGGGTCCCTTGAGCAAGCCTCACCTTACAGATTGGGCTCAGAGAGCTGCCTGTCCAGCCCAAACAGCAGCCTAGCAGCTCCCACAAGGCAGGGCTGAACCCTGACACACTGACATAGGCAAGGCCCTTCACGTCTGGAAGGTTTGGTTGGGTCCTTCATCTGTAAAATGGAAACAGTAATATTAGCACTATCCTGGAAGGGTCTCTGTGAGGATTAAGCAAGAGGAAGCCTGTAAAGTGCAGAGAGGCCTGGGCCTGCACACGGTCAACACTCAGTTAATATTGGCTCCAGGTGGCTAGTTGGGCTGCTTGGAGATGGTCCCTCTGCAGAGCAAAAGTCTGGGCTTACAGATCCTGTCTGTAGAGCCCCTAAGGCTGCTGGGCTCTGCAGCAGAGGGATGGCCAAAATGCCCTCAAGAAGAGCATCACCCCTTCTTGGGTAAAGACAGCTGATCTGTCTGCCAAGCCCAGAGGCCAGGACTCCCAGCGAGAGAGAAGGGCCTGTATCTTTGCTGATGCCTCAATATGAGCCTACAGACTTGAGAGGGCAACAGACGCAGTTCAGGTCTTGGTCGGCAGCTTTGGGAAAGTTGGCAAAGACAAGTCCTCTGTCCCTCTGGCTCTTCAGTAAAGCCTGTATTTCCACTTGCTTCCTGGACTTGCACCCAGAAGCCCACAGGCACCTCGGACTCAAGCCAGCCAATATCCAACTCACTGCCTTCCACGCAGCCTGCGCTGCACCTGACCTGGGTCTCCCTTCAGCCCCACCCCGTCTGGACCCTCCCTCCTCCTCACCCCCACACCTGCTTCCTTGCCAAGTCAGCCCATTCTACCAGAGGATGTCTCTCAGGCCTGCCCTCTCCCTCCCCCCACCTCCCCTGCCTTCCCTCCTCAGATGGCCCTGTGTTAATCACTCTGGTCCTCTTACAGCTCTCCCAGCCTTCAGTTTCTCTAACTAATCCCCCTCCTCCTTGCTTAATAACCTTCCATGGCTCCCCACTGCCTACCGGAGGAAGCGGATGTTCGCTCCAGGACATGCCCAACCCTTGTCTCCACCTCAGCTCCTACACTCCACCGTCCCCACTTAACTCCCCACCAGTCCAGCACCTCCTTTATGGATGTTCAGGGTCTCCCCTACACTGAAAGGAGGAATATGGAGGCAAGGCTGGGGAAAGGGGAATCCCTGACCCCCATATCCCTTCATATGCCCTTCAGCTAGGTGGGGGTGGGGTGAAG